GTTTCGTTTTTCTCCTACTTTGTTACATTCTGGTCACTACTGCACTTTATATTGGTAATGTTTATTTCACTCCAACTGCAATATCATTACACTGTTGCAAGCTGTATGCAACGAAATTTCGTTTTGCATACATTCTGCGCATACAAAATGACAATAAAGTTTGTCAAAGTCTAATTCTAATAATTAAATAAATAATGAAACCGCTATAAAAAAAAACATTGACATAGGGATTAATAAAAAAGAGAAAAAAAAGTTGAACGTTAGAACTTAATGTTTAGATACGACAGGCAGAAATAAATAGCGGAGAAAGAAATAACTAGGGTGAAAAAATACAAAGGAAGAATAAAACAGACAAAAATATTATCACATGCACATAAATAAATACTTAAAAATATAAGTAATTAGAAAATAAAGTTGAAGATTATAAAGGACAAAAAAATAAATAAGGTAACTATTACAAAGGCAAATAAATAAAGAAGCTAATTAAAAGAGTTTTATACATTTATGTTTCGCTGTATAATTTAATTTCCACTTACATTTATTTCTTTATTGGTGGCAATTAATTGTATGCTTATTTATTTATTGAGCATTTATTTATTTATGAATTTATTTTTAAATATGGCAGAGTTGGTCCTCCATAACAGTCAGGTTGAACAGTGTGATAACCTGTTAAATAATATGCTGTCGCCATTTTGCACATCTCTGATGTTGCTGCTATTTTCAAATATCCATTAACGTAAAATGTCCATAGCTGGATATTGGTTATTTATTCTCCAGGTGCGCAGTTTATATTGTTAAAACACTTTATTGTTAATCGTTTAACTCTTCACTGTTATGTTATTCTTATAGATTTTTCTAAGGTTCATATTAGTGTCACCATTTTTTCTATAATCTTTTATCTGCTGTAACGGCAGAATTTCCCCCATTGTGGGAAAATAAAGGGATTTTCTATTATTCTATTCTATTCTGATAGCAGCTCTATCCTCACATATGTTCTACTTTTCATTTGATTAAACCTTTTTTCAACATCCCACAGTATTAAGTACCGTATTTTCACGACCATAAGGCACTCCGTATTAAAAGGCGCAGTCTCAGTTATGTGTGCCATTACTGTATTTAACACACACATAAGGCGCACCGGATTTTAGGGCGCTGGTTTTATATACAGGTACATGTCCTCTACTGCGTATTTGAAAATAGAGCGGGAGCAAAACTGAGTATGATTGTGCTTTATTCATGTATTTATTACAAAGTATTGATCAAAGTCATCATCCTCTGTTTCTGAATTAAACAGCTGTGCTAAATCAGACATGCCAATTCCCCCTTCTTCGCTGTCAGAGTCACTTTCCGTGCCGGGCGGCTCCTCAGAAATAATGCCGGCTTTTGCGAAAGCTTGAACAACAGAGCCAGCAGACACGTTAGTCCAAGCATCTACAATCCATCCGCTAAGTGTGGCGTAACTTGCCCGGCGCTGCCTTCCACTTATCCTGAAACTGTGGTCTCTGTCTCTTTATATTTAGGGTTGTGGTTATGCTAGAGGGTGAAACTTTGACTC